GAACTCGGCCAAAATCGCTTAGGCGGTTACAGCGCCAAAAAAGAAGAGAAGAAGAGAAATACCAATTATTTTAATATTAAATAAGTATTCAATAAAATATAATATGTATATATGTTATTATACATATATGTATGTATAACCGAGTGGTCCAATAAAAATTAAAAATTTCCGAGATAGGGGTTTGGGGGACCTTCCAAAATTTTACCTCTTGCTGAAGAAGGTACTGACACCAATCTTTTCGTTCCCAAGCATACATTTTGAGGATGCTTATAAAATCTATATATTTTAATCTAGAAGAATTTTGTACACTTATTAACCAAACAATTGGTTAAGCAGCCTAAGAATATTTCAACACAACATGGCACCTGTAGCTTTTTATAAAAAATAATCAATAGTTTTGTCAGTTTCCATGCGATTCAGTGTCGCATATCAAGTTCATTGAGCCCTCTTTATTGGTTACCGTAGAAAATTGAAAGTTGGTAAAGATATTAAAAAAATAAATATTAAAATGAAACAACTAAGCCACGTTTTCTACGATGGCACTTTTTTCGTCATACAAAACTTGAACCACTATAATGTAGATATATAGTTTATATACATTAGACCGCACAGTTCACCGTACACCGTACTTTTGCCAGCAATTTCGACAAAAGACAAAGTTTTCCTTTCGGGTTTTTATATTTTTCGTCACACTTCGGCATTTAAAGTCCGATCTTAAAGTATGATATATCGTTTTTGTCTTTTTTGTTTCAAAATTCATTGAAGTACGTCGTTCTAGTACTTACCCCCTAGATCTCAGTTCTTATTACCCTAACGTACCGCCCTAATGCCAGTAAATTAAAGCTCACCAAAAAGCATTAAACTATTGCTATGGAGGTATTTTGAATAAATCAGCAGAAGCGTACATAGCTTTTAAAGGAGGTTTTAAATATATTAGAGATTTGTTTACAGATTTATAAAACATTTCCGATCATTCAAGGGGGCGTAGTAGTCTTTTTTTGCCGAGTTTTAATAATCTTTTTTTTGCAATAATATATCCAGAAAATGTGCTCCAGAAATCCGTTTGACTATGGGACAGAGTTACTCCGTAGCAATTTAGCTTGCAGTTCAAATAAATGTGCGCCAGAAAGCAGACTGAGATTCGATAATCGCGGCAATCCAATGTATCTATGTGTGGAATAATGCTACAGCCGAAATGTAGGCAACAGAAATTAACCTTCTCAGTAATCTAACTTGCAGCCAACTAAAGGTCTGATTATGCATACTTCGCATAACTTCGCACAACCAATTGTACCAGTGAAATAAAAATGTAACTTAAAGAAATGTGAAGCAAAATCTAAACTCAACAGATCGCTAAGTTTTTAAAAGCTCTGCTAATTTATGGGTAACGGAATACATACAAAATACATACAAAGTACGTACGAAATTACAGTTTGAAGTTCATGCGAGGTTGAGCGAATTTATGCGAAGTATGCATAATCAGACCATAAGTATTCATTGATACCTATCTTCATACATACATACGTATGTACTTTCTAATTAAATTAACCTCTTAGTTGCCCTTGAGCTAAAAAGCACCAATTTTGCAATACGTAAGAAACGAGAATAGAAAAAATAATCATTGCGACAGTCGTGTCCAATGCATGTCCCGTGATTGCCTAAAATTTCCACTCGACTAGTGTATTAAAACGGAAAAACGTTGCAGCACTGTATAGTTTTCGACGATTTTCGTCGTTTACTTATTTCGGCGCGACAGTAGATAATGCCAATGTTGTCGAGTCGTACAATTTAGCCTATTTTAAAACTTACGGAGTGTGCTGCATAGAACAAAAAGCGATTAGGAGAAAGCACCTCCGTACTACCTACATAACCCGGACATATTCTAATTTAAACTGCTATAAACATTTTCTATTAATTTCCTACCCGAATTCCTATTTTTAAAATTTCTCTGCTTGACAGTAAGGGGCCATTCTCTCTCAGCTTTTGTCTTCCGAACCACTGTAGTGTTTTTTCAGGCGGAAGTGATGTCAATAGATCGGACCACAAAACTGGTAAAGTGTCATAAGATAACCCAAGCTGATATCTAAGTCTTCGCTGACAGCCAGACGGCAATCATATCACTTACAAAGCAGTCGATTCACTGCCATGAAATGCCGCGTATCTCTTAACGAGATGGCTGAGGAATTTCGCTTAAACGTGATATGGGTTCCGGGACACTGCGACATTGAGGGAAACTGTAAGGCGGATGAACTGGCGCGACTTTACCATACACTGTTTATTGAGAATATAAATTATGAAATAGGAATACCCTTACAAACTAGCAAGCTACTTATTTCCGAGAGGCTCACTAAAGTAGCAAACGACAGATGGCATGATAAAATAACTTGCAAAACTGCCAGACAGTATCATGGCCGGCAAGCATGCCTATCGACTAGGCGTACGATTACATGGCTTCTGTAGAAGTTGCTAGGATAATGAGGAGGAGTAAACGATACTGCCCTGCCCTATCCAGACGAAGACACTCCACTCTAGCTAGAAAATTCTTCGATAACTTGGAAGACCTTAGATGCATGGAAATCAGGGATCGTCTAAAATATCTGCGAGAGTCTAAATGGTTTTAGGCAGCATTGTGAGTTGCTGACCCCACATGCGGCAACGCAATGAGCCTTGAGCCTAAGTGAGTCTTCTAGATGGGCGCAACAACGAAACCTAAGTGGACATTCGGGCATTACGCAAGCAGAGTTTCAGTCATTTTCAACCTCCCTCTCTGTTTCTCAGCAAAAGAAAGCATTGGTATTTTTTTGCAATCTGTTAATGTTTTTCTGACGTAATTATCATGCAGCATTCATGGAGAGAGAGATCGAGACGTGTTTCTCAATGCCGGAAGATAGTACGATACCCTTTTCTCTGAGAAGATTATACAACGCTGATTTGGCCGAGGCTTAGTTCTAAAGTAATTACAACCCTTACACAATGTTGAATTCTGAAGTCTTCACTTATCTCTTAGGGAATATGCCTCGGTATTCCAAGTCATATTACTTGCAGCCCTCAAGGAGAGAGACAACATGGTGGAAAATAAGTCAAATAGTATTTCCTCAAATGTGCTCAAGACATTCAGGCTGATTCAGAACAGAAACTCCCTGGGAGTTTTCTCTCCTGTCCCTTCCACCTATCATGAATAAAAATTCCCTGACGATTTTTTATATTAATTGGCGGAGTTGAGCTGTTAAAAAAGTGTCAAGCAGCTTTTTCGAAGTTCGAATTTCCTCCTCCCAAATTTTAGGGGAAAATGCTACTCCCTGGAAGTTAAATATTGGAGGATTTCTTTGTCGGGAGAAAAAAAATTCCCGGAGACTAAACATCTTGGGAGTAGGTATTCCTAATTGGGCTGTATAATCAGCTCTGTCTTGGCAAATTACTTTGGTAAATATAGCGAACTAGTTTTACTTTAAATAAGTGACAGATCGCATGGGAAATAACGATAATAAGATTTCTGCTCATTTGAATAAATAGGGCTGAGTCAGACAGTTCAGCAATAGTAATTCTACGTGCAGCTATTAAAGCCATCATTAGAAATTATATAAATGAAATATTCATCACAGACTAGAAGAGATGGAGGGGCTAAAGGCTATTCGTAGAACAAACATTTGTGCTTCAGCCATAAAATTCATATAAATTTGAATATGTATAAAAGTTAACTATTCTCAAAATAGTAGAACGATCTACCCTTGAGGAGTACGGGAGTATAAACGACAAAATAGTATGTAGTAAAAACTGCCATGATAGTGCTTTTTGCAAAACTGAAATGGGTTAACATATTTTGAGTTTATGTATGAGGACATTAGCTCTGAATTGATGCTCGGAAATGTTTTCTCTATATTACAAATTCATATTGAGATATTGCTCCAATTATGGCAGAGTATCTTGTTATAAATAAGTCAGACATTTTAGATTTCGAATTATTGCTTTCCGTGCGAGAGGCATTTAAAATAATGAAAATTTAGAAAAACTATCAAAACTTGTATTAAAACTCAAACAAATATATAAATAACTAACGAAAATTAAAACACAAACAAAATTTTATATTTAATAAATTCATTCGATTATATTTATTGTTTTGAATTGAATAATTAATTGTTCGCATTATATGTATGTATGAATCTATGTAAATATTTACGTGTTTGCCGGTAGGCATGTACATATTTATGTATGTATGCATGTAATTTATGTATACAATTTACAATACACAAACGCAGGCCCGGACCTATGTAAATATAATTTACACAATTTGTTCCACTTTTAATCGTTATTCACAAAATCAATACGCTTATTTATCTACTTAAAATTATTTTATGCATCTCATTACTTTTAACTAAATTTGATAAATTCGAACACAGCGTGACATACGTGCATATTTGTTATGAAAATGCCGGCAAATCTGCGCTAAGGTTTTTTCTTTTAAAACCAACTACGAAGAAAATGGAGATAAGTGAATATAACCGCTAAATATTTAAGCGGTATTAAAAAAGTGAAATAAAAATTATTACAAAATTTGGCATGATTGAGCAAAGTGTAGTGTATTGAAGCAAGTTTTAGAAGTACATACATACATATATAGTTTTTAAAATCTTATGTTCACGAATTCATTATAAAAAAACTTATTTTAGTGAAATAAATTAAAAAATAATAATTTTGAAATAAAGAAATTTAAAAAAAGTAAGAAAAATTAATTTTGAAATTTTAAATTTTATATCTTAAAATTATTGCAACATGAATGCATGTGTGTATTAAAAAACAAAAGTTGTATTAGGAACCAAAACAAAAAAAAAAATTAATAAAGTCAAAAGTTTATACGCTGGCATATTTTAGATGTAAGAAATTCTATAAGTAAAATAGTAAAATAGTATGCCTAAAATATTTTTTCTAGAAAGTAAATTGTATTTATTAGAATTTATTAAAATTACAGCAGTGTTTGTTGCAGTGTGATTTTACGTTTTTTGTTTTTTTTTTTTTTTTAATATGTTATTATTTTACAGGATATGCTTCAAGAAATGTTTTTGTGATGCATGGCAATGAAATTTTACTTATTACTTATTTATTTTTATTATTATTTATAATATTTATGTGTCAACATAAACATATGTATGCATTTATTTACATTGAATCAAAGGCAGTTTAATGTAAAAATTTACTAAAAGCAGTAAAACTAAATATATGGAAGATTTTATTTGTATGTCGAGAATGTGAGCGAAAATTGATTTCAAATTTTTCAATGAATTTTGAAGGTATGATTCTTAAAAATTTTTGACATACATATATATGTATACATATATGCAAAAATCTATATATAGTCTTTTGCATTCTTTATATATTTTTGAATATTTAAATTTTAAAGTATTTCAGTAAATTATTTCGTAACAATTTGAATAGTTCAACAAAATGTTACTTATGCTTACTTTTTTTAATCAATATTTTTTAATATTTTTTATGCCTATAATTATATTGTAATCATTTAAATTTTTTTTCCAGTACTTCATTTCATTTCTTTATTTTTATGCCATTGAAACTCATTTACTAGCTACATGGTTTATTTTGTTTGTAACTTACAACAATTACACTAAATTATATAAGTAAAACTACTTCAGAAGCACTCATACACATACAAACATAATTCTGAAATTTAGTCTAAAGTGCGCTCACAAAGTTTTTCACAAGAAAATGAGCGTAAAGTCATGCAGGTTGAGCGAAGAGAGCAAGAAAAAAATGGTGACATATCAGGTTTCTTAAAATTTCTTAGCAAATAATCATTATTTCAAAATTGTTTAAGGAATTTTTTTTTAAATTTGGCCATATTTCAAAAATAAACTCAAAATTGTTTTTGCAAACTTTAAAACAAACTCATTGACATTTCAATAACTTTCTATATTTCCAATAAAAGGTTCGCACTTTTTCTTGAAAATAAAAAATAAGAAAAACGAAAGTTTGTGTTAAAATCTCACTTTATAAAGCTTTTTAAACTATTTTATTTTTTTTTCATGAATAAGGGCATAAGTATTTAGTTGAATAGCACATACTGTAAGAAGATGTTACTTTCTAATTTTTTCAAATTTGCAAGATTAAAAAAAAATTGGAACACTTGATTTTTACTACCACAAAATTAGCTTACTACTTTTATTCGTGCATTTAAACCATCAAGTCGAATTTTTTTTTTAACGCTTATAAGTCAATTTTTGTCTCTGAAAAATTATAAACACAAATTCTCCTGAAACTCTCTATAATTAATTAAGCCCGTTTTTGAATGTTTCAGAATTAAAAAAAAATATTAACTAAAAAGATCGGCATCTTTACGTCTTCAATTAAGCTTCAAAATTTTTATTTCCATTTTTTAATTTGTTATATTTTTCCAAAAAAAAAAAAAAATTTTAAATTTTATTGGAATTGTTTTACTCTGCAGTGTTAGAATTACAAGCATATACACAAACTTGTTGTCCCGCAAATAATTTAAATTTTTCCGAAAAGTCGAATAAATTTTTGTATTGAAATTTTTGGAAAAAATATTTTTGAAATTAACTAATCCAGCTCTATGGAAAAATAGATTTTTCTTAAAAAAAGAAATGAGAGATAATTTTTTTCTATTATTTTTTTTTTTTTTAACACACAGCTTTCAAATAATTTCGCACAGTTTGTTTAAAGAAATCTTTTTTGAACTAAAACAATATAAGCCCATGACTTTGATTTTTTTATGAAAAGGTTCTTTTATGAAAAGGTGTGGCTATCTAAATCTTTTCCTTTTTGTTTACTTATGTATTTGTACTTCATCTTTCAAAAATGATTTTCAAATTTCCAACCTTTCTTCTTGCTCTCTCCACCTTTGCATGGTAGTCAAAAAGTGACTTCTCTTACAATAAACACACAATCGATATATGTTTTATTCATATTCAGTTAAAATTATAATCTATATAATGCCGCTGTTGCAGCACAATGTATGCCGCCTGCTGTGTGGCGCCACATTCGTCAAGAACCTCTGCGGTACAGCCGGGCGTATGAGTAACCTTCAAAGACAGTAGAACGGCCGGGCTTGCTCGATGCTCTGCTTCCCAATGCTTTCACTTTCATATGAAATTCTAAATTCTACGCCACACGCCTCCTCCTTCCCTTGCCGTCGACGATGCCGCCGCAGCCACCGCCGCTCCGCGCCACTCCACTTACTTCCACTTCTAGCTCCAAAAATCCACCATATTGACTAGTTTGCATTTTTTGAGCTCAAGTTTGGTGGGACGCGCGCGAAGTCAAGCCCTTCCGAAGATCGCTGACACGTCGCCCGTCGATTGTGAGTGTGACATATTGTTGCTGGCACTGCTGCCCCCGCCGCCACCGCCGCTGTGACCATTACTATTACCTCCACCAACACCACCAGCGCCGCCGCCGTGGTGCGCCACATTTCCAAGTGTTGTGCTCTGATGCATGAGGTGATTATGCACGCCACTGCCACCGCCGCCGCTACCACCTAAGCCCAAGCCATATTTGCTTGATGTTGTGGCAATGGTGCCGCTTGTAATGAGATGCTTGCGCGCTGCGGTGCCGCTATGCGTTAGCCCATTTGTGCCGTAAATGCTGCGATGCAACGCATATTGCGGCACCGCATCCAAATCGGATACAGACGAGGTGATCTTCGAGCGTACGGCAACCTTCTGCATGCTGCTGTACTTATCGCTGGCGCTGAGCTTGATGTCGGGCAGATGACCAGAGGAGGCGGCGTGGTGTGCGTGATGCGCCAGCCCGCCGTTGGCGCGTGATTGTGTGGTGGTGGTAGCTTTGCTCGTCGTCGTCGTGATGGCAGCATTACTGACCGCTGTAGTGCTGGTGATGGAGGCGACTACGGCGCCATTGCTGCTGCCGTTGCCGTTGCCGTTACCATTGCCACAGCCACTAGCGCTACCGTTATTGGCGGTGTTCGCATTTGTGGCATTTGTGGGTGGCGAGACTTCGGTGAAACTGTAGCAGGATGATTTCTGTGAAGAGCTGTTGTTGAGACCGCCGGTCGATGATGAGTTGGACATGCGGCAGCTACGGTGACGATTGGATGAGGAGAGCTGCAGGAATTCATGGTGTGCCGCCTCCTCGGGTGTCATGCGCTCCGCTGGATCCCATTCAAGGCAGCGTTGCAGGAAGTTGATGAAATAACGATCTTGGCAGAAGAGTATCTGTGAGAGTGACTTGCCGCCTGGCAAGCGCTTGCGACCCTTGGAGTTGGTGGTGCAACGTGGTGCGCCACGTGAATCGAAGAACAAACGGCGTCGGGTGGCGTTGGCGATGAGGTCCTTCGGTGGCAGGCCAATCACTTCCATAATGCAGGCCAACTGCTCGACTTCGTTCTCGCCGGGGAAGAGCGGAAAGCCGGTGTAGAGCTCGGCGAGAATGCAACCTGCGCGAATAGAAAAGAAAAAAGTATTTTAGAAAAAATTATAGTAACGATTTGGTGAGGATTTTCTTAATTTTTCGCTGTAGATAAATGGATAGTTAGGTTCTATATCGATGGCCGAGTGGAAGATCGGCCTATCTTGGCAGCCAGTTCGAGAACACCCTATCTCAAAAAACTTTTCAAGAACGTCCTACTTCAGAATTTGAATGATGAACGCGCTATTACGGAGTTTAATTGAAAAATATCCTATCTCAGAATTTTCTTGAATTAGAAAATACATTGAAAATTTTCTGAGATAGGGCGTTCGTCAACCAAAGTGGAGGCTGCCGCAAATACCTATGTACATCCAAAACGATAAAAAAATCTACTAAAAATAACGATAATGAATATGTATGTGTCACATAATAATAAAATCGGACTGTAACCATGCCCACCTCACATATAACGGTATTTTTTCAAAAATGCAAAAGCTACGATATTTTCGCAAGACTTGATCCTGGTCGTTGAAATTTGGAAGGTGAATTGGAATTTTGGCATAAAATAAGACAATGTTGACATTTTTGTAAAGGGGCGTGGCACCGCCCAGTTGTGATGAAATGCTGTATCTTATCAGCCACTTTATTAACCCCCTAGAGTCTCGCAAACAAACTCGTTGAATATTTTCAAAATGGCCAATAACCACGCCCTCTCCCACATAACAGTGATTTACAGAAATCCGAAAACTGCGATAAATCTGCAACCACTTAAGCTAATTCACTCAAAATTGTTGTTTGCAATAATCACTTAAGCTAATTCACTCAAAATTGTTGTTTGCAATAATCACTTAGCAGAAAAAGATATTATCATACATTTTTGGTAAATGGGCGTGGCGCCGCCCACTGGCGTATACATATCGATGGTACTCTGCAATAACGACACAATTCGAAATTCAAAATTAAAAAAAAAACTGTTACTACTGTTAAGGGGATCATGTCTCCAAAACTTTGCCGATTATATTTAGATATCGATAAACAAAAATTTAAAATTGAGTCGCATGTTATCGAGCAAGACTTATTTATGGTTAAGGTTAACAAACCATTAATTGCTTATTTTAATAGAAAGTAAAAAATTAGACCATCCTTCAAATTAAATAAAAAATGCTTAAAATCTGAAATCGAAAAAAATTTCAAACCCCCAATTTACGTCTACTTGTTTCAAGAAAAAAGTTAGCAACAGTTCACATTCTAAAAAATGCTAATTTTTGTTACTAATAGTTAAGAATCAGGATATTTAACATACTATATATACTACATATTAATTAAATTTAATTAGAAAAGTGAAATTCGAGCAATAAAATTGTTTTCTCTTAAAATAAAATTTTGCGAAAATTTTTATTTTTGAATATGAAATTATCAAAATAACACTTAATTTCAAGTCGGAAGTTTTCTTCGCTAAGTTCTAATGATGGTCGCTGCAGCTAAGCTGCCAGTCTGGCTGAGGTCACACTCATTTTTCTGCCAATACACAGCCAATTGCCGCTGAAGATTTTGTTGCTTCTACCAATTTTTTTGCTGCCTTCTTGCTTATGCTCTACACTACTTAGGCATTTGACCTTTAGTAATGTGCCTTTTTATGCAATGTTATTGAAAACTTGCCGTCATATAGAGTGAACAAAATTTTCACACAGCGACCATTTGGAATGATTAATTTCGGCTTTACCAACTACTTACGAATGCGAGGACAGTATTGAAGTATAAGGCAGATGAAATGATGTAATAAAGCGGCTATATATCTTCTATATTCACTGCCTCGTAGCAGCATAAGGACATAGAAGGCGCAAACACTGCAAAGCGTACAACTGACCTTGACTTTGTGTGACTTGTGCAGACCAAAAAAGACTGTTGCGGCACCAAGAGTTGTATCATTTGTTACGAAATCGATATAATTTTATTAAAAAGTACTATGTGATGAACGTGAAAAGTAATAAGTTACATTTATTTACATGCGTTTTCAGGAGCTGCATTCATAGCCATTTACATTGAACTATGGTTGCCGTGGCGTATGTGTAACCTCGCTTTAAATGCATATGTATGTGAGCGATAAGCAGCTAGATTTTACTTTTCTCAAGTGTTTGATTTCTGCTAACACATCTATTGGGTAAACAGTTTTCATTCAAGTTATTTTAAGATCACTCTAGAAATTTCTTAATCCCCTTAAATAACAATGAAAAACGAATTTTCTCATGCTTTCGCTTATTGAGCCAATTTTGACGCAGTCAGTAACCGATATCTTTGCCAAATTAATGTCAGCTGCATGCGAAGCAAACCAATGACAATAGGAAGCTTAACTTGCATACAAATGTGTGTAAATTAGGGTGGGTCACAATAGTATGGAATGCATCTTTGAAGAACAAAAAAAAAATAAAATGTAAAAAATTTCGGGCTCCAAAATTCGTTTATTCCGCGAACATTGACTCGGCAATTTCTACAGTTTATTTTAATTTTTTGTTTTTTACTTGCCCTTTATTATGAAAATCTGCTTCATCCTTATACCCCTAGTTGTATGCGCATTAATTTCTAACCAAAAACAGTTTTATGACATGCTGTGCACCATCAATGATGCTTTGCAAAAATTATACACTCAACAAAAGTTTGCTTTTATCCACATTCTAATGCATAATGCGCAGCAAAATTTTTTGGCAACAATGCCAGTTGTCTGCTACTACTGATTTCAGTTGCCAATGCCAATACCAAATCGCATTCGTATTTGACTTATGTAAGTACCAATATTTACTATGTATGCATATCCAGCGGTGCTTAAAAGCTTTTACTTTAATTTCAATTGTTCATTTTTGAGGGACTTTTTTTTTTTAGTGGAAATGAATGGATTGTGAATTTCGTACATTGAAAATGCAATCGCAAATTAGCTAATGTGAAATGTTTGCCATGGAAGTTTGAAGGACATTCGTATTATTTTTAGGTAATTCGTAATGTAGTGGATGTAAGTTTTATAAAAATAAAAAAAAATAAAAATGGAAATAAGAAAGAGGGTATGGGCAGACGAACAAAAATATATATATACATTTATCATGCTCTATGGATATCGATATTATAATCGGAAAAATTATGGATGTATCTATCAATATCGCCAATAATAACTATTCATCAGAGACCGAACATAACAGTTATTGATGAAAACTGTCATTGAAAAATTCACTATGAAGGAAATGTTCTACCACTAAGTGATACATACCAATCGATTTCTTTTTTCAAATCAAATTTGAAAATAAATTTTTATTTGTAATTTTTATGTAAATCCAAAATAACAATTATTTTTGATTTTTATCTAAATAATCTGCAAATAGCAGTTATTTTTAATTTTTATATTATATGTCTTAGATAACAGTTATCGAAGGCTTTTATTTATAAAAGTCATCAATAAAAATCAGTCAGTGACTTTTACATTTAAAAAGTACAAAATTCATTAACATTTTTCACAGTTAAGAAGGTGTTGGAGAACAAAAGTTTACTACGACTTATAAAAATGACTTTTATAAGAGGGATCTAAAAAATAAAATAACTGTTAAAGAGCGATTTTTTTGATAAAAGTTGGTAACTGTTACGGTCCCTGCTATACATGGATATTTTTATCTGTATTTTTGAGAAAAAAGTTTTTTATCGATAAAATTTTCGATATATTTTTCGATATTATTATCGAAATTGCTATCGATGTACTCAATATAATAACAACAGGAATTTATTGAAAATCGAAATCGTTGTAGGAACATATTGATCGTTATCATCATTGTTATACCTATCGACATCTTTAGTTAGTGGTTGTCATACTTAATCAATATTTTTACCCCTTCGTTATAGATATAAATGCACCTTGATTTCCTTATCGATATTACTATTAATACATTTATTGATATCAGTTGTGATATCAAAATTGTTATCGATATATTATTTGATATGCTTCTTAATCGATATTTTCGTAGACATTTTTGTTGATAAAGCTATTTATTCCTATAACTTTCAATATCGATAACAAAAGCTACCAATCACCAAGTCGGCGTCACAAACACCCGCTCTATATCTACCCTTACTCAATGCGTTCAAATCAAAAACCTGCATAAGCTTACTACAGGTTGGCTTTCAGCCTACACAGCCGCACATACAACAAACAATTACTCTTCTGATTGATGGTGATATCAAAATTGCCCAGAGGCGGTTCGAAAAAATACTTGCAAGTGAACTTTCCACGCAGTGCAAGTGTAGTAGGCCTTACTCAAATATGTATTTAGACACTTTCTGAAGGGGGCGAAAAGTTAAAACGGAAAGTGCAGTTGGAATTCGCGGAAGGAAGCCACGGAAGGAAGTAATGAGGGTAGGCAGGAAGAATGTAAGGAAATTGTTGGCACCTCGTTAATGCAAGAAAGTTATTCAAATAAAGCAGCTCTGTAGCAGTGCTTTCAATGCTTTAAAAGCAGCTGGCGCTAGGTTAGCTATAAATATTTCTGCTTTCCTTTGATAGCTCGAAGTGTAAAACTATCACTGACATACATTTTTTTCGCACTTTTTGCACAATTGATATTTATCACTCGCCCACTTTGAAATAAGTTAAGTGTTTTTTCGCACACTTATGCGCCTCTCTCTTCTGTGGCTACTATAGTTTCGATGCTAGTTAGGCGCCCTGGTAGGTTTAATTGTTAAAGTGCGTGTTGGTTGTGATTGAAAACATGTATGTATGAGGGTAGAGCGGTAAAGAGCTTGGGCGTATGTATTTAAATGGCGGTCTCGTTGATTGTATAGCTGTTACATAATATGGTTATAGAAATATATAGACGTTTGAAGGAAGTAATTCAATTGCTTCTGGCTTTGATGCTGTTAATGGCAAAGTTGTAGCGGTAGATAGAAAAATTAGATATAGTTTGGGAACAGCGATGTCGATGTATGTATGTATGAAACTATGGAATACCTTTAATACAAGGTATAGATTCTAAAGCAAGCAGTTTATGTTTTTTT